GGGAATTCTGGGAGTTGAAGTCCACCCGTCTTAAAGTTGCTGAGGTTGAGGAACCCTGTCTTAAAGGATTCTGACTTGTTGATCAGGGGATGCAAAGAACGAGACTTCAGAAACCAGAAACGAAACTCAAAAGCTTGTTGGAACAGAAAGCCACGCAAACGGTCGACAACTATTGTGGGAAAACCAGTGACCCATTTTGTGGAGAAGAACCCGGGACACTCTCAGTGCTTGAAGAGTTATGGAAGCAAAACCATTGGGGGGTTTAGATCAGTGTTTTTCAAACTTGGCAGCTTTAAGATGTGTGGACTTCTGGGAGTTGAAGTCCACACATCTTAAAGTTGCCGAGTTTGAAAAACACTGGTTTAGATTCTATGGCAGTGCAACGCAGAGTGAACGGCGAGAGGTTTTAAACATATAACTTAAGCCAAGTTAGAAGCTGCAGTCGCCTTCCTGCCTGATTATTCCATGGACAGGTCTGAAATAATACAAACGTGGTTTGCCGTTGCCTTCTTTCCGAGTGTCTTTTTGACTTCCTAACCCTGGGATCTCCTACTTTCCACCCATTGAGTATCAACCAATTCTGGCCCATAGCTAGGATCTACAGGAGTTCATGGAGCCAGGGCGAGTGAGTGATAAAATGTGCACGATGACATCGAGACAACCCCTTTGCCCTTATGTACTAGTGAACGGGTGAAGCAAATACAAAACAGCAGAGCCTGCAGTGGGATGCCATGACGTCTGGCGTTGCTGTATTTAAAACCGGATGTCCTACGGCTCGGTTTTATCCGCACCCGCCACCTCTTCCTCTGAATCCCTCCAGAAACGCCTAACAAGAGCAAGCCCTGTTTGAAAAGGTGGTTGTGCTTTTACTTGCCAGAGCCATCAGGGAGGATCTACGTCTGTGCGTTGTTGCGGCAGTCTGCCTATTTTTTTCAAAAGACGTTGCCAGGTCTGTGTTCAGTTCCAGCATTTAGATCTATGCGGCTTCTTAGAAAGATTTGGGCTGGGGGGATATTACGTTGCACGGCACCCTGGTAGCTACGCAGCCCTTTTCTTCCTCTTCCCAAATCCATGTGTTCATTGTCTAACCTTTACAAGGTAAAGGGTGTGTGTGTGTGTGTAAAAGAGGACAGGATTATTTTTTCCTCGGTAGCAATCGGGTCGTCTGCAGGGAGGGTCAAAATCTGCAAGATGGTGGGCCCAGCCTTGCAACTGAAGTCCTGACCCTTCTGTAGGGGGGCACACAACACCGTGGCCACCATGGGGCAGATTTTGACCCTCCTTGCAGACAGCCGTAATAGCAAACCAGTTTTGGCATTCTCTTTTCAGAGAGACTGCTTCTCTTTTCATATCAAATGCAAAAGCTTTTTTGTTTTGCCTCAGGCTGTGGACTTTCTTTTTCTTTCTTTTTCTTTTTTTTAAGATTTCCAATATTTGGTCCTATTTTTTTTGCTGCTTTTAACTACCTGCTGAGCTTTGTTTGCTGTTCAATTTATGGATTATATTTCATTGTTAACCACCCTAATAGCCATGGCTGAAAAGCAGCCTACTAAAATTTAAGATAAATGGGAACTACATCAGTTAAATCCCAGCAAACTTTAAAATATGACTTCCTCCTCTTTGTCCCAAGGTGATCTTATATGTTGAGGTGATTGCACCTGGCCTATTTCACTGTTGCACCAGTGAGGAACGTAACCGTCTGTATTTGCTCCTTGTAACTCAGGAAGGCTGTTTACTCTGAGACAATTTCCCCCCAAACCTATGCTGGTGATCTGGATTCAAACTACACACTACTTGCCAGAGGTGTCCACAGCTATGATTTAAAAAAGTCAAGATGGCCGGTATGCCAGTGCAACCAAAGCTCCATCCATTTTTTAATGGGTGTCACATGTTGGCCATTCCTGGAGTTGCCTTTGCATGGCGTGGACTGGGAATTCTGGGTGCATCAAGGAGGAGCAACCTGCAGTTGGAGACACAGCAGGAGCAAGTGGGACCCCAGAGATGATCTGTCCCTTTTCTCCACCCTCCAACAGACCCAGGTCAGTGTTTCTCAACCGTAGCAACTTTAAGATATGTGGACTTCAGAATTTTGGGAGTTGAAGTCCACAGATCTTAAAGTTGCTATGGCTGAGAAACACTGACCTAGAGGGATGGTGGACTTCCCTATACTGGCTGTGTCCAAGCAAAGGCTGGACAGCCATCTCTCCAAGATGCTTTAAGCTGGATTCTTGCATTGAGCAGGAGGTCGGAGTCACAGTGAGTGAGTGAGTAAGGTGAGACTCACAGTAATGGCCTCTGCCTTAATGGGCCATTCCACTTCTGTGATTCCATGAACCCACAACAAAAGGCTCCAGTACAGAGTGTCCTTGTTTCTAAATTTCATTCCATCTCCATCCCTGTTTTCTGTTCTGTTTTCATAATTGTGGAGTGGTGTGTAGCCATAAGAATATACTCCACTCTCATCAAATTCTTTGAGGGTTGCGTCCTTTTTAAAAACACACACACACACACACGAACATATTCTTTTCCAAACCTTGGGATCCCCCAAGCTGGCAGATCCCGTGTAGTACAGGACCATCCCTGATTGTCAAACAGAGATCACTATCAGTATATGCAGTTCTATTCTGCCCATCCTTTGCAGGAA